TTCTAAGTGACAGTAATCCTATACTGCTTGCAAAGATTCTTGTTGAGGAAAAAGTCTATATTGAAATGACTAGACACCCTTGGCTCTGAAGGTTAAAATCAGCTGTATTCTGTCCCTGTTCAGTAGTGAAAATTCCATGACTGGAGCTTATGTTGCAAGAGAAGTCTTCAATGAGCACTGTCTCAGTCAATCAATGAATAACAGTAAGAGTAAGATCAGCTTTAACACATGCATTTTCATGGAAAAAACACTGCACAATGATATATATTCTGTACAGCTGAATCACTTGAAATATGACATAATGGAAAAGCACACTCCTTCTGGTACCTGGGGAGTAATTTTCATCTTTGTAATTGTATTACAGTTATTTGGGTAAGGGATTAGTTTTTAGCTGGGGGCAGTATTTTTTTTTTATTTTGATTACAATGATCTATGTAGTATGTATAATTATTACAAACTTCTTTCAATTTCCCCTAGTGTCTTAGTAAATTCACACAAATATCCCTCACATAAGTATTATTTAGCTAATAATATTGCATTGTGTTTTTTAGGTAACTTTCCCCAGAAATTACCAGTCAGTTGTGTAAGGGATTATTTTCAAAATTCACAAGAGGTTGAGGGGAAATCATTTTAAAACATCATGAGTTACAGAGATAATATAGTTACAATGTAAAGAAATCCTTTAATGCCAACGTATTAATTTAAATATTTAAAACCTTACACAACTAATATGTACAGTAAGTGTAGTGGATCACATTTAGGAAGTACCTTTCCCCAGCAATGTTAGCTTACAATTCTTCTCTGAAATTATTGTCCATTTCCAGGCTCTTTAAACACATCTTTGGATTTCTGTCCAATAGATAGACTTGTGCAAAAAATTAAAACACACATACTGGATATGTGGAAAATAATGCACATTAGTCTTGAAGCTTTCCTAATGCACAAATTAATTAATTGGGTGGAGCTTAAAAAAGATGCATCTGTCATTGTGATTTCTTTGCCTCATACTAAGTTCATTTTATTGTGCATCAATTAATGCAGAAAGCTTAGTATAATAGTCTATTTATAAGGCCAGCACAGAACATCCCTTCAGCTCCTCGAGGAATTGATAATGTACTTAGTATGAGGTGCTTTTTCCTTAAATAATATAATGAGATAAAGAATTTATTCATGCATAATTTGGACTGCTATTTCAATTGTACTACAAAAATGTACCAACACTTTCTTGTTATATTCTGCATTACATGGTGAATTCCTAACACCTCCAGAGGCATTGCTTTTTCTTAGTTGTGCAGTGTTAAAGAACATTGCCTTTCAAAAGAACTCAGCCATTTTGGTATCATAAACAGCAGATGCTTACAGAACCACAATACCCTGATGAGCTTATTAGAGAACAAATTTGACACAATCTTACTAATGAACTGTCAGTCTTATATCATAGATCTATAGAAAACATGTCAAACAGTGACTGAAATTTAGCTTTGGAGGCAGTTCTCATTATTATGTTGTTAACACATGCAAAGATTAGGGAATTGATTATGTGACTGGGTTTTTAATATCAAGGTTATTTTTTTTTTAATTTCAGGTCAGATCATCTTTAATAGCCTGTATTCTCACAGTGGTAATTTTACTTTCTGCATTAACAAAAAAAAGTATATCAACTTATTTATATTTTCGTAGTCTCATGGGTGACTCTTGGTATAGTGTCTGTTAGCCAACTGCTTTTCAGAATAGCATTTTAACCAAAGCAAAAAAGACATAGATTGTGAGAATTGCCACCTACCATCATTTACTGAATCATATACAGTACATACAGTAGTAAGTTGTGATAGTGGCTATAAGTTAAATATCCTATAAATCTACCTGTTACTTTCTTATATTTAGCTCTAATCATATATTGTGTAATTTAGTCTCAATCAACCTAGAAGGCATGCCTGGTAAGTGTTGTTTAACTAACAGTATTTATTATTTTAAATAAATGAGTTTGGGAGATGGATAGTGTGATTGTTCTGCCTGCAGCTGAAGGAGTCTTTGAATTAAATGGATAAGTAACTCCTCCTTTTTGTTCTTATCTATACAACCTTAAGAAGCATGTGCATCATGTGTCTTCATTGCCTCTTCCCATGACCTGCATTGTCAAGCTTGACTATGGGCAAAGCTTAATACCTTTGGAAAGCAGTTTCCACAGTCTCTATAAGAAAATCACTGAGGTGTGCCTGCCTCTACACATTTTTTAAATATGTTTCAGCCTCCTTCCAGCTTACATACTGGTAGTTTTAATACTTACCATTGCACAGTGCAAGATCTCTTGTGTTTATATTGAAGTATTATTCTAAGAGTACATATAAAGTAATTGTTTTTTACCAGCTTCTCAAATTTTCAACATTGTATGCATCTTTCTCAAGAGGGAATGTGTTTGAAATCAAAGGATGATATTGATGTAATGATGATGTTTGTTTTGGATTTCAAATTCTTACTGTATTTCAATTGATTATCATGATTTTCTAAAAGGTCATCACACTAAAACTATCTTTACTCAACCTGCAGATGTGTTTCTTTCAGTGAGACTCTCAACATAATGACGAAACATAGTCCTTATTTGTGAGATGAAAAATAACATTTATGTGTTGTCTAACAAGTCCGTGAATCACTCAGAAATGTTGTAAGGGAAAAGATGCAATATGAAAGAAATTAGGAACATTTGAATGAGAAAATGGGTATGTCACTTACACATGCTGTTCAATGGGGCAGTGGTTGTGGGATGAATTATTAGATTGTATGCTGTTTTATATACTCAAGAAGTTTTAAACAATTTCAGAGTTTTTTTTCTGTGTCCTGTCTTTAAATGCCAGCATCACTGCCAGTGCATATGAAGGTCTCTGCAAAGCCTTTGTGTTGAAGCTGATGAAAACCACGGGGCATTTGGGCTTATTCTGTCTGCGGAAATGACAGTGCTTCAGTTTAGCTCTACTGAATAGACCTTCCTTAAAACCTATTCTCTCACAATTTCTTAAATTATTCATGGGTATTTGTTACAAGAAGGTTATTCTACTTGCCGCGATGGCCTTTTTTTCTCAGTGATGACAGCTCATTATTTTAGCTGTAAAAATGTATCTTGCAAGCCGTTTGACCTATTTAAAAATGCTGCCACCTGCTTTAATATGAAAATGTATATCTAAGGATTGCGATTTAGACTGAACTATGTTTAGCAATTCCTTTTAGTAATGTAAAATACATGAGAGTGTCCATTATATTTAATGTATATTCACCTGTTTACTTTTAACTGCTGTACTTTCAGCTCTTGCTTTTCAGTTAATTCCTCATATGCATTGATATTTTTACCTTGATGTTCCTGATTTGCACAGATTATGGAGTGGGGAAGAATCTCATTTTGCTTAGTGAACAGAATGTTGTATTCAAAAGAAGGACCCATCAAAGGGTTTGCTTAAAACTGTTTACTCTTTTTATTTTTTTCAATGAATACAATGGAAATAAACAGCCTTTTAATTTCCAGTAACTTAATTTCTTTCTAAATGATATATAAAAGCTGCCTCGGGGTGCTATTGTGGGCAAAGAGTTGGCTATGATCCGAGACAGAAAATTGATTGCGCTTGATTCACCTCTCCACTTCCCCGCGGCGGTTAGCGAGCAGGCCGGGCAAAGATTGCCTCAGCTGAGCCTCATCCTCTTCATCCCCAGAGGAGGAAGCTCGCATGAGGCAATCTTTGCCCGGCCTGCTCGCTAAATACCAGATCAGGATAATAATCAGGATGATTAGCTATAAAAAGGACCTGGATGAATGGTGGGATCATTTGTAGTTTCTAAGAAATATATTAATGGTTGCTAAACCAAAACCGTTTTTCTGTTTGTTGTTGTTTTTTTTCCCCCAAAGCAATCAAATCTAATCCCTTTTGCATTTTGCTCTTTATCAGCATTTCTCTAGCACAGATCTCAATGTAGAACTACTATTAAAGATGACAGCAATTATCTGAGAGATATGAGCTCTAATTTTAAACCTTTCCTTTAGCGGCCCATAGTACTAAATGTGCTACTGATTTTTTGTTTTGCCTACCTCCAACTTTTTACCTCATTTTACAGGAAAAAGAACAATTACCATTTTTTGTGAATGGGGTGATATTTTTTATTAAGTGATCAATACTGTCAGGTTGGGGAATGGTATTTAGTATCAACAATTTCAACCATTCCCGAAATCCATTTCCTTTTTTTAATTTCCAGAAACAGAACTTTAATATTTCATGGCAGAATCCTTTTCTGGTGAAGTAAAATTTATCCTACTGTGATGCTTTTCAAAGCAGATTATTAATTTATAGGTCTGAAACTTTTCCAGTGCTTAGTCTTGTGTCATATGTGATACCTTTTGAAAGTGTACGCATTTCAAAGAAGCTTATGACGTCCCTGCAGGAACATCACTTACCAACTTTGTGTTTTTTTTACCCTAGGATAATAAAATTGCACATGACGATGTATTTGCCTTTTCCATATTTTGTGTTTAAATTTGTCATGGATTTATTTTAATTATGTATTTAATCTATATGTCCCTTGTATTTGTGTCATTTCAACCATTGCAACAAATATTCTTTTCATTTCTTCCTTTTCTTTATAATAAAAAAGCTAAATTCATTTTGTTAAGGTGAAACATTGGATTTGTGGTTTATTATTTTTTAAATCAGCCTTGCCATCCAATGACAATGTGATTAAAGCTGACATGTTTTCGTTGTTTATTGGCTTTTGTTCTTTGGAAATGCATTGTGCTGGTTTAGACAGATTGGCCTAACCTTGAACGCAATCTCCAGTATTGATTGTGGTCAGAAGGCAGCAGTGAATGCACAGTGCGTGTTTCCATTATGATGCCTTTCTCTGTGTGCAGCAGGTTCTAGAACATGGCAATGGATTCAAACAGGGGAAGGCTGTCTAGCATAATTGTCTTTTCCACTGTCAAGTTTTGTTTCCTAATGATTTGTTTGTGTTTTTCTATTCAGTGATTCAGAAAACTGGTTTTGCAAATGCCCTGACTTCTACTCTGGAAAACTCTGCCAGTTTCATGCCTGTGACAGAAGCCCTTGCAGTCACGGTGCGACCTGCATACCCACATCTACCCAGGATGCAGTGTGTCTGTGCCCATATGGGAGAGCAGGGGTCCTGTGTGACGAAGGTAAGCAACAAATGAAGCTCTTAACAAGTCTCGAGTCATTAGAGGGGAGATGTAAACAACAAGCTAGAGGGGAGAAATTAGTTACGCTAATCTAGCCGGAGATCTACTAAGTCAGATAAGAGCAGGCAGCTTCCTTACTCTATTTCTGCAGCTAATAACACTTGGAAATAAGTCAATATCTATTGATTGGCAATCACTGACTGAGAAGGTTTTTCCTGAATATTCTAACAAGCATCACAAGGAGGCTGCTTATCAAGATGCAAACTATCCCTGCCTATTAGGGCGAGTCTTGTTGGTTTTTAATTACAGTTCCTCTCATAATCTGAAGAAGAGCAGCATTTTAGAGTTAAATATAATTGACATACTGCGTGGAGTTTGTATGTTCGCCGCATATACCAGTTTCCTCCCACAGCCCAAAAGCATGCTGGGAGGTTAATTGGCTTCTGGCAAAATTACCCTGGTGTGAGTGTCTGTGTGTCTTTGTGCGCCCTGAGATGGATGGGTGCCAGGATGTACCCTGCCTCGTGCCAGTTGCTTGCCAGGATAGATTCCAGCTCCCCTTTAACCCTGTATTGGATAAAACAGTAAGAAAATGGATGGATGGATCTTTTCCATAAGTCTATATGCAGATACACACACGGCTTTTGAGAGAACACGTCACAAAATGAATGGTCAGACCTAGGGATCATTAGTTCATCATTGCACTTCCCTCCAACAGAGGCGGCAGTAGTGATGCGTAAGGGCCCCACGCAAGAGGACAATGCTGTTCCACTGTGGCTTGTTACTCTACCGAACACTCCATGTCATTATAACACAGCCCAGCATACAGTATGTAACTAGCCAGCACATGTAATTTGAAGGGCAAAGAAAAGCCCTGTAAAACTGTGAGCAAATGTAGTCATGTAAATCTTACTCCTGCAGTTAAACAAGGAATTATGGCAGGACTACAAGTGTACAGTTTGTTTCTATCCTCGTCATTAAAAGCAATAGCCTGTTGTGTGGTTTAGTTTAGGAGACCAACAGATCTTCCAGCCATCTCTCCATCAAGTACACACAACCCTAATGGCAACTAGAGTCTTCTAATCTCCTGTGTCCTGCTGAGGTTAGTTGACATTTAAATTTAAAGCCGGATAACTTCAAAGTCAATATTGATCCCTGCCCCTCCACAGTATCTTTCTGCATTAAACTCGGTTTTATATTTGAAGTCATTTTCTCATTTATCTTTCCTGCCACAGAAATAGACATCTCCAAGATACATTTTAGGGTGCATAAAGACAAGACTTGAAAAGATGGGTATCATCATTTACAGAACAGAAAAAAGTCCAGTAACATTATTTATTTATTATAAAAAGAAATTTGAAAAATAATCCAAGGATTATTATCATTAAAACAAATATATATCTTAGTGTTTTTAAAAATTCTGTGAACAGAATTGTAAAAAGTAGTTACAGTCTAAACTCTGAATAATAACATACATCCATTCATTTAATTTCAGCCCTTTTTACATTTTCTTTTTGTGACATTAGTTGGAAAGGGAAAACAATGTAGCCTTTGCTGCTAAAACTGTGGCAGTACATCATTAAACACCCTCTTTAACATGTATTGCATGACTGATTTTCTTTCAGATTAACGGATATCCCCAAACACAAACTGTTTTCCTGTTCAAATACAATGAATTTCCAAACTCCATTAGCATAAGTAATGCTTATCCAAACAAGTGACTCTTTCCACACTCTGTAGCGCAATCCTTTCAACTAGTAATAGCACATCTGTTCAGGTATTTCTCAGAGAATTGTGAAAAGCTTATAGCTACTGATCTAATATGCATAAAGTATCTTTTTATATTTATAATGATGTCTAATTCACTTTGTATAATTAAGCCATTGAAAGAGGCCACTGTGATTTTTTATGAGGAAGTCTTCAATCAATGGTTTCTGCAATAATCATTGATGGATTTAATACAAAGCCATATTAATTTGTCACTCATAATGGCAACATCTGTGAGCAAAAAATAAGCCCTGTGATTATCATATTTACTATCTCAGAGATAATGTATGTATTTTACTGTATGCCAGAAAAAGACTATTGAAAATGCCCTTTCTCTCCACTGAAAAACAGAGAGCAACCACCAGTTGTATTTTTGTGATATAAGAAGTTAGGTGATTTTCTATTATCCCAAAATCTTCATATTAAAGCAAGAAGTGTAATGTGAGGAGACAAAGATATAACCTGTAGAGTCATGACAGCAATTGAAAAACACAATTTGCAGGTGATTATTGATTGCTCCTCATCCTCCTTGATGCTGTACAAGCGGTACAAACATAGACAATTCAGCTGGGCTTCAATTTTCAACACCAGTTAACAAGGTATTTTGGGGGCAGATTAAAACCAAGCCCATTCTCCATTTGATGAATAAATGTATAACTCTGTGCCTCTTCAGTGCCTGAAGCTGCCTCAGCCTGCATGCATACTGCACTATTCTATTCCAGAGTGAGAGTGAGAGGCAGCAGGCTTGAGTCATCCTAATAGGAAAACATCAAACAACATGCATAACCCGTAGTTTACTGAGTGAACTGGATCCCTCGATAACAGGCAATTCTGTCTCAGTTTTCCGGGTCACAAACAACAATGAAAAAGGAGCACTCTATCCAGACCCCTTCACAAGCTCATTTGACCATTCTGTATGTGTTAATGAATGTTACTACCTTTAAAGGAGGATGTGTTAAATTGAGGGTTCTAAAAGTCTTAAAAACAAGGACCGGCATGTTTTGTAAAACAGTCACACAGATAAAAAGGTTCTTTTTAGGGGGATGTTATAGAAGATTGACCTTATTTATTTTCAGACAAGAAAAAATGAATGTTGCTGCATGACCTGGGATGAATTGCTTACTAGAAACACCATGGAACAAGAGCAAGCAGTCAGGCTCCCAGGTTTTGCCTAGACATGCTGTGCCTGGTACTCAGTTTCCTTTCTGCTGCTTATTAGAGTAGTAATTAAATGTTCACATCAAATGTTAACTAAGTCTAAGCAATGAAAAAAATGTTTATGTGTTTAGAGCAGTGTATAAATTATTTTATCTAGTGAAAAGATTTCAAAAGCCATAAATAATTCATAAGCAGAAAGAGCAGGCTTTCCTCAGAAAAACACTAAAAATACCGTACTTAGCTCAAGCCGTGGGGCAAAAGAAAAAATGCTAGTTATTTGGTTTTGGAGAAAAAGGTATAACGTATTTTGTACTTCCCTGGAAGGGAAATATGGAAATATTGAGTTCTGCTCAGAGTGTGAAGATATGGCAGTTTCTCATCCTTGCCTAAGAGAACAGAGGAGACAGACTTTGTACTGACCTCTGATGTGAAGTCAAGCAATTTCTTCCTTTTTTGCCCACAAGACAAATCCATAGGTACCTGTATTATTAAGCAGAAATGAAAAATTAAGGAGGTTAAAATAGGAATGTCTGATAATGTACCACAGTAACAATAATAACACTTAGAATCTAAGTGTGTGTCCATGTTTTGTACTGTATGTCCTCCTTATCAATGTAAATTGTCAGTTATTTCTGAAAATAAAACAGGAATGAAAATGCAATGGGGGCTTTTAAAGGGTCGCAGTCCACCATTTCAGTTTATGGAAATTGTAATGAAACTGTTCCCTTATGGAACATAAAACAATGGCTCCATCTAGTGTTAACCATTAACTATCATTTTAATATGCAACCAAGACACTGTGCATTTTTAATAGGGGATATGTGGATACGTCGGAATATAGCTACTCAGTGCTGATGCTTTTCAATAAGAACTGCACAGAGAGACAATAAAATGAGCTTCATGAGATTTCTGGGACAATGTGTTCTCTATTAATTGTGATAATGTGATTAGGAAAAAGAAATGTGTAGGTGGTAAAGGAAGTGCACCTCTTGAAATTAAATGACGAAGAGAAGTCCTTTCATTACTCAGTGCCATAGAATTCCTTTTTGACTACCTGAAGGGGATTGTACAGAAGTTTGTTGTCTTTTAGATAATTATCCTTGAGATAAAGAGGGCTCTGAGTGAAGCAGGGGGTCTCAGCATGCATTGTTTTTTCTTAATTAAAAAACTCTGGCTTAGCATTTTAATGAGTCAGAATTGGCAGTTTTCTAGGAGATGGAAGAAACGCATGTAGATTTCAAACAAATTCTTTATTTTCACATATATTTTTACATATATATATTACATACAAATATATTACACAGGAATTCATATAATTGTGAACTTGTTCTATACAATCTATCAATTCTATCTGGATGGTAAATTTGATGTAATATTACCAAAAATAAGATGTTTAAATGATTTTTATCAACATGGTAAAACAGTGCAATACCAGTGACTTTTAATATTGCAATTGCCTGAACCTCCAGAGATCTGTGCACTACAGGCACATACTGTAGCATCCATGAATCTATAATAATCACTTACCCTTCCATTTAATTGTCTCATTAGAAAATGATGGCCATGAACAAGGGAATCGTATGTTTTGCTATGCGTTCCAAGCATCCATATTGATGCTGTAACTTGATCCTTCGATTTCGGCTCCTCCTATCAGTGTGCAGCCTTGGACTGTTCGCCCACTAGTAGGATAGGTAAGCTAGGCTTAGGCTGTTCCTCCTGATGATGTGTTGTTGGAACAGCAATCCTGCTCAGTACGAGATCGACCAAAGGTTCAGGTCAAGACATTTGCTTGGTTTAGTACTGTACCTTCTGTGGGATTATCATTGAATGTTTTTAAATCAGAATCCACACTAAAAGGTACATACTGTAAATACTGGAAAAAACAGATGGGCTGAAAAGTCTGTAAAAGTATTTTCATCAATTAATTTGTTTTTAAAAACAGCTGAGAGGTTTTGTCATGTTACTAGGTGTTTATCTACCAGCCGGAATGTGCAGAGAAAGATACATTTACTCTGGAGTCAAGTTAAGCCACTTTAATTACACACACACACACACACACACACACACACACACACACACACAGACAGACAGACAGACAGACAGACCATTGAACTAATTTTGTGACTTTGTGCAAGCTGTTCTTTTGCAACTTGGATGATTTAGGATTGCCAAAGCAAATGGGTGGTATATTTAAGCAATTCCCAATCTTCGAATACTCTTTAAAAATCAATTGATAATACATCGGTACCTTTATTTTTAGCTTTAGCACTGTACAACTGATACAGTATGTAAATATAGACAGTTGGATGGATGGAATGCTGATTTAATAAAAGGAAAGATATAAATGAATGTATTCATCTGTATTAGGCAGTGTTTGTTGTGTTTTCTACTTTTATATTGTCATCAAGCGATATTAGAGGGTTGTATCAATAACATCTTTATTCACCTGATGTGTTTCTGCAGCTATCAATATCACCAGGGCCAGATTTAGTGGAACAGATGAGTTTGGATATACATCTTATATGGCGTATTCCAGAATCCCAAATATGGACTCCTACTATGAATTCCAACTGAAACTGACATTTGCCAACAATGGGTCTGCTGTAAAGGACAACATTATCCTTTTCACTGGACAAAAAGGGAAAGGTAAGAAAGGCTTATTCACATTCATGTCCTGTAAATATGGTAGCATCAGTTTGTGAAAACTAGTAAATAAAATGAAAATGTGATTTTTAAAGCTTTTCTATTATGACTATATGTGACAGATCTCTGCGAATGGCCCATTATAACAGTTGCTCTCCACACTGCAGAAATTGAAAATAAATCTTCTTTCTGACATGCTGAATTTATGATTTTCTATTTTCATATTGAAACTTTGAAATTTTCATAATGCTCACACTCCTATCACTTGAGCTTCATTACAGAGTTCTGTAACCTACTGACTCTTTAATGTTTTTCCCGTGTGCATGGAAATGCACTGACAGCATGGCTGAATTATTTCCTGTTGGGCCATCCTTGCCTTCACTCAGTTCTGATTCAGAAATTAGGTATCTTCTGTTTTTAGTAAAGCTAGTCATTCGTGGGGTAAAAAAATGTTTCTTGTGAGTTTGGAGGAGCATAATTCCTCTCAAATTGATTTTTTCCTGCAATTTTCTGTTGCCTTAATTGGTCGAGAGATATAACAGTGTTACTTATTGGGGGTGTAAAAAATATGCAAATATATTACTTGAGTAAAGGTATTGCTGCTTTTAAAAATATATCATTAAGTAAAACTTTTCTTTCTAGAAAGCTATTAAATAAAAATATAAAATAATTATCTCTTAACAGCACACAAGTATCATGTGAAAATTGTAAATTAAATGTTAATTTAAGATTACCCTGAATTCCACATCAGCTTTAATTATCATTGGTGCTATTTTATACTCATGTATGCCTACATGTACATTTAAATTAGGTACTAGGTACTACTTCCAGCCATAAATAAAACATTTAATGGAAGAATTGTAGGATCTAGTGTTAAACATTTTAAATATTGCTTTTAAACTGCTTTTGGATTAATATTACTCTTCTAAACTACTAAATGCATCCTCCACTTCTGAACTAAAGCAAGCAAAAGAACAGGTAAAGGTTCATTCCATGCCAAAAGGCAAAGAAAAGAAGCAAAGAGATCAGAGGTCTCTCCAGATCGATAGTTCCCCATTTAACCTACTGTATAATGGCCACCCTCTTTAAGATCTCTCTGTGTCCTTACACAGGGGTTTCAGAATTCCTATTGGAGAAAGACATCTGAAACCAATTAAGTGGGATCACACCTTCATCTTTCGCTCATCAAAAAACTAATCTCCTACTCCTGTTCATTTGTGGATTTTGGATTTCCAGACCTTTCCTCCTGCTCTCCCTGAGGTTGGACTCTCACTCTCACCTGCTGTTTCTCCATTTCCTCACGGCTCCCTGCCCTTCTTACTGCTCTGTCCTTTGCTCTCCTGTGCCTTATTTACCTGCTGCTTCCCCTCTCTCACACCTGATGAAGGCTCCAGAGCCGAGAAGTCCTGTTTCTTTCCTCACTTCTCAGCATGGAATGAATCTTTACCTGTTCCACTTCAGTCTACGCTTACAGACTCCTATGAATGTGAATGTGAGACTTTGGTGGGAGGGTCTTCTTCAGGTTTCTCCTTTCTATGTTTCAAGGTGAAAATAACCGTTTCTGATCCTTTGCAATCAACGCATACTGACACAGCTCCCCACTCAAACATCCACAATGAAAACAATTGGCAACAATTGCTTACATCTTTTTCACGCTCAGAAGTATGCATTATTTTTAGTGTTGTTAATTCTCCAAACCTCTTGCTTCTGACCAGTGTGATCTACTTAGACTAAATAATTAGCTTACATAGCTTATACATTTTTCATATTTACTTGCTGGAATATTAACAGTGAATCAGAGTTTAACTCAGTCTACACAAGAAATACAGTAGCTTTTCCCATTAACATTCCAGTGTCAAAATGAACTGAAAATGTCAGTATATTTGGATGCATAAATATTGGTTATTATTTCCAAACACTGTCTTTAAAACAAGTTCCAACTTAACATGATATACCCAGGATGTGTTACAATTTTCTCTAGAAATGACCACATCAACTAAAAATACAGAAATTACAAAGTACAGCAGCAACATCAGAAAAAAAGTATTTTTTAAATGAGAAATCACTTTTTCCTTTACAGTTATGCATATGATTTCTAAACATTTTTCAGTGGATGGTAACAACACAATATATCACCAGTGCAAGATAAATAAATGTCTAAAGGTTTTTTGAAACCAGCGGACATAATTTTCTCATAGTTATAGAGCCCTCTCTGAAGCTTTACTGTGTGATGCCCTTGACTTTCATCAGAGTCATGGCTGTACACAACATTGTAGAGCCCGCATCAATGACTGTCCTAATTAAAGAGAGACTCCCTCTCCTTTTCTGATGATGGCATAGTTCTTGGTCTAAGCAAAGTCTACATTAGGTCTTAAACTTTGGCAACAAGATGTCAGCCAAGATCAATTCCTGATTCTCGAGCTTTTTGCCAACATGCTTCTAAATGCACATTGTAGAGCTGGGATGTACAGTGGATGTTAGGCAGAAGCAGAACTTTAATTTTCCTTTTTGTCTGTTGCTTGGCTAGTTCAAAAATCAATATATATGAAACTATATAGAAATTAAACTCAACGTGTCTGCAATGTATTTAAAGGTTGGTTTTAGTAACTGCTACCTACTGTGTCATCTGTGGCAAAACATTTAATCATCAGCTTTCACAAAGGACAATCAAAGAACACGATGTCACTAGAATGTAAAAACTAATTATAGAAAGGGTTCGATGAAGTCAAGGTAATGTTCAGGTGTTACAGAATATGGGACACAGAGAATAAGACAGAGCTGCTCAGTCATGACTTTAATGAGCTGTAATTATAAAATGTCTATTTTGTTAATATGGTGTAAATGAAGCAGTGAAGAATGGAAAAGGAAATTAATTCTGTGAATGGCTTCTTAAAGGAACAGTTATGCAGTATATTAATGTAATAGTTAATGCCATGATTTGTAGTTGTCAATATATTTATATTGTGAAGGGCTATTGGTGTATGAAGTTAAGAAATACTTTTGAGTCTCATTTCCATAGTCTCTTAACATATCTCAGTTTATTAGTGATGCAGAAAAATCAGGAAAGAATTTGCAGCATGTAAACATAATAATTTTTAAGAATCAAGAGAGACTATTTGTTCCAGCTTCAGCCTATGTAGTTACTAAAACCAATTTGAAATGAGGATCTTGAAAGATAAAATGAAACAAGCCTTACGAATATCTCTGGAAAACTTGTTCAGACATCCAGCACCCAGTCTGTATACACATCAGTTAGTGTGTTTGCACAGTTTGTCTGTGTGTCAGGGCCTTCCTAAATTTACGCCCACATGAAAATTCAGCAGCAGTAACGAAAACAGTACCCCATTTGGTGAAAGTTGACAATGTAAAGAAAAGAAAAAATGATTGTTCTCCTCTGATGAAGTAATTTTTCTTCCGCTGTGAAGATAGAGTGCTTACTGCAGCAGTTAGCCCAAGCCACACTGGCTCAACAAGAAGCCCTCCTTGTGCAGAAAAAGGATCAGTAGACTGCAGATGGATTTGTAACATCTACCTTATCAGCAGTTATAAAAAGAGCTTCTTTGGTGGACAATGGGGCAGACACACACCCTAGGAAGCAGGTAACAAAAAATGATGCCCTCACACGATGTGGAGGTGTACTTGAAGACACTGGCCCAGCATAATTGCACCTTTATTGCCAAGAGAAGCACAGAAGGCTTACTATGACCTACAGCAGCAGGATGCTGAAAATTATGATATCCTTTTAAGGGAAATTCCCGCATGACTGGGAGTAAAAATGGCAGTTAGAGCTCAGATATTTCATTTCTGGGTTTAATGTCCAGATCAGCCCACTCGATTTCAAATGTTTGATTTCATACACCTAGCCTGGAAATGGTTTCAGCCTGAAGAACTACCATTTAATAAGGTCATTGAGCGAGTGATATTAAACCATTTTCACAGCCTTCCTGTGGATATGCAAGGAGTTATTCAGTCAAGGAAGTCCACAAAACAGACCACATTATTGATCTGGTGGAATCTCTGTGCTCCAAGAAAAAACATGATGAAAGTGATAAAAGAAATGTTCCAGAACTTAGACCAATCTGGACTTCTGTTAAAGAGACTTCTCAGACGGTGAGTGATGTGCTCTGATAGCTGGCTCAAAGTCTGAAGAATCAGAAGTTCCCAGATGATATAATTATCATTAAAGAAGACACTTTATGATATTGATATTGTTCATTATGTCAAGAACCTATGCAAGTGGATGTGACTTTGGGTGAATGCTGTGACATTTGGGAGCTAGCGGGTCAGACTTAGCTATAACTATTGCTATAAAACTGGAAGATTGAAACTTTAGCAGCCCAATGTGTAATTCTCAGTCAAATAAAGCTCCAAAAAGGGACAATTTTGCTGCTACATGTACAGATGGTGACAAAACCATATATAACAGCTCGCCTACATTTTAGAATGCCACAAGGAAATTATAAGGTGGTGGTATTGGTTCATTCCTCATTTGCCTTATACTGTCTTATCGGGGTAAAATTGCCCTGATAAGAAGTGTCAGTACATATTGGTGATTTTGGACTAGGCAACCCAGTATCCAGAAGCTATACTTTCAATATGGTCACTTGTAAAGCTGTTGCCTCTGAGTTTGTCTTTCTCTTCTCGCTTCTTCTCTTCTCTTCTAACAGGTGACAGTTATCACCTGCAGAAAAACATTATTCTGCCTTTGAAAAGCCAATCAACAGAGCCTTAGACTTGCTAAAGTATTACTTATTTTTCTACTGACCGGCCACGCACACATGACACGAATGATGAAAAATAAAGACAAAAGCGATAAAGTCGCAAGATGTGGCCAGAGCCTCCAGTCATACAAATTTACAGCAGTCCAAGAAGCAGGTAAACACCAAAGCAATATGGATGGTCTGTCACGTATGCAACATGCAAATGTTGCTTCAAAAAGATACATTTTCTCAGAGAGAAGGGGAATGTGATGCCACAAGTGGCATTGTCCTTGAAGGATGGTACTTCCCCCCAAATTGTCAACCAGTTTGTTGACACTTTTTGCCAGTACTGAGATATCTGTGAGAGAACACCAGAACTCAATAGCTGGAACAGGGAAGAGCTGCGTGCCCTTTTCCAGCCTATATTGTATGAGCCGGTAGTAGAAGTGGCTGATATTGTGGAAGAAGTGCAGAGTGAGCGAAGGTTGCCACATTCTAAGAGTTTCATATTGCTATAGCTATTACTTGTACAAGAGACTGAAAGAAGGGAATGAACCACTGAGGCCGAAAGGAAAGGTAGAAAGAAAGATAGAAAAATAAAATTACGGAATGACTAAGGACCGGAGAAGGAATATTAACCTGGCTTAAGTTACACAGAGTGTGTGGTGATAAGAGAGGAAATTCAGAAAGCAAAAAGTACATACATTTAGACATACACCCAGTACAAATGCACAGTACTGTTCCTTTAAGAACTAAATTCAACATTAAAAAATCTTAGCTGAATTTCCTAACTAAAGTATAAAATAAACAAGACTGTCAAACTGTATGTTTGACATACACAGTGCACAGTGAAGCATATGCACAGCTCATATATCAGGATCTACTTGTATTACTTGTTGTAAACGTTTTGTATTCGGTGGAAAAAGTGAAAATGAGGAAACCAGCAGTGTTCACTCTGCTTCACCAGACAAGCTCCCATGAGGCTTTTGGAATTAGACTGATTTGCATTGCTATGGAAGTATTAAACTCTTGCTTCAGAGCACACATGGCAAATGAAATTATGCAAACAAACAAGGAAATGACTCATAAGTAATGATTCATGTCTGTTTTTATAAATTTTGCCATTTCATTTTTATGAAAGGTCCCAAAGATACAAATGGAAATTAAGAGGTAGATTTCACTACACATACGCCTATATGTATCCTATAAGTGCATAAGTGAATATTTTATACATATGGATACACAATTCTGATAAAGAGCCAATTGTTTGAATAGATTAAAAAATGGCAAGTGATCTACAATAAAAGATGGTAACTTTAATCTTAAATGTATAAATTCCTCAACAACCCCAATAAATGTAGATTTGGAAATTTACCATGATATGTTTGATTCTACTTCTGAACAAAGTAACGGTTATCCAGTAAAAAAGGGAAAATTGCTTGTTTCTCTGCTTGCTGACCAAATTGCATAAGAACATAAAAATGGCTCGAAATTTCAGCTCAACTTGATTGTATTGTAATAGTTTAATGTTCTTTGAATTCTGCTCTTTTTCTTAAGGTGAGCTTCACCGACAAAACATAGGAGTTTGTTTGCAGATACTCACAATCCTCTAGGTAAAGAGGTGTTTCTTTTTAAAGTGGTACTCTTGGTGGTGTTAAATACTCCTAAACCAAGTAATTTCCACCTGAGTTCTAGAAGTAATCTTCTGAGTCTTTCAAATTTTTTTAGTTAAGCTCTGTACACAATCTTCTCCATTTCAGACTAAAACATTTATTTAGTGAGTATGGCATACCCTAAGACCAGGATTAAATCAGATGCTGTCCATTGTATTACCTCCAGTATAGTAGTTCCAGACCCTGGTTCTGGTGTCTTCTATTTTTATTCAGATAAATTTTCAATTTGAGCTCTATTTTTAAAAATGTTTATAATTTTTATTTTTTAAACAAATGAATTGGATTTATAATTAATATCAGCCCTCTACTAATCTCAGAACTCTGTTCATTTTTTTGTAAAATAATTGAAATGGACTGCCACAGAAGACAAAACTCGCTCATGTTTGTTCTGTATGATGACATTGTGGTTCACCTTTGTTTATGCACTCAGACATAAGTGTCATAAATTGCATAAACAAGTGTGTAAACATGGGGAACCATAAACCTCAAGTAGGGTTAATTTATGACACATGTCTGAGTGTGTAAACAAAGTTTTGAATAAACAAGTACACCTATTAAAGCATAGAGAACAAATCTGAACACAGTATTCAACATATGATCTGATTAATAAATAGCATAACATAACCAGCCTTGATTTAAATTAAATACTCTTATAAATAAAACACATTTTTTTAAACCTTTTTATCGCTTCACTGCATTGTCTCCTTGAAAAAAGTTTGGGCACATTCAATTTCATTGGCCACGGGTCCATCCAGTACTGAATTTTCTCTCAACCCAATTATATGGCTTGTGCTGTTATTATACTACAGTATTTGCAACATTGCCTATTTTTGTACCATCTGCGAATTGGAGTTTACTCAGTGTACTGATCTAGACCATTGATATGGATCAGGTAGACCTGAAGTCCTCAAACTGAACCCTGTGCTACCTCACTAATGCCTTTAGTCCTGTGTGATGTAACTCCTGTTATGAGTGTCCATTATTTTCTGTTTTTAAACATTTCTTTATCTACATGCACACATTAACTTGTATTCCTGCAGCTTTACATTTGAAAAATAGTCTTTCATATGGTATATTATAACATAATTCCTAAAAGTCTAGATATGTCATGTAATATGCCCTAAAGTTATCTAATGAATTAGATTCTTGCTCAAAGAAAGAAGAATCCAATTCACTCATTAGGCATGATCCATTAATTTTAAATCCTTTCTGTCCCATAGAACACAGTTTTCATCCATGAGATCTTGTTTGCATCTTGTAACCGGGGAAGGTATTGCTCTACAGCTCCCTGGTACCATTTTGTCAATCTTTTTAATTGATAGGTATTACATTTGTGATTTTCCAATAACCAAGCACAACCCCTTTCTTATCATAGAGATATGAAATATCCCTGAGAGTCTATTGATAGGTTGTCTTGTTTCTCTGAAGCACACAGATTCACTGTCTGGACCAGGCAATTTTTTTTATTAAATTCAGCTAGCACCTTTAATGCCTTATCCTCTTATACACTAAAATTGTTTAGAGCTTAGCAGAATTCTTTTTTTTTTACCTGCAGGGAATTAATTTAATCTTTTGTGAATACCTGTGCAAAGCAATCTTTGATGCCCAATTTTCCCTGCTCATCTTCTATAATAGATAAATGTGTATCCCTAAGACAGTCTACTGCTCCATTTTCTGAACTTTTGGGATTGTATGTAATATTGAAAAAAGCCCCAGGCAATAGTTTTGACTCACAAAGCTACTGTATACTTCCTTTCCTTTTTTTGATTCTTTTGGTTTCGTGAGTTGTGTTAGCAGCTCTGTGTATTCTCTGTGCTTTGCCTCATCTTCATCTTTATCCCTTTTAGTTTTCTCTATAAAGTATTTTCATTCTGTTCAGTTAATTCTTCTATTAAAACATTTAGGCCAACCTTTTCTAGAATGTGATTTGTTAACCTTTGTTATGGTCTTTCCCTGTGTTTCTTGTACCAAATTTGAAGTGTCACCATTCTATCTTTGTGCTTAAAGGTATCAATGGGGATGATTTCCTGGTCCTGGGTGTGCGCAATGGCCAAATTGTGTACAAATTTAATCTGGGATCTGGAGTCACCACCATTTTAAGTGAACCCCTCACGCTGGGCCAGCGTGTCCACGTCATTCGCTTTGGCAGATTCCTCAAAACGGGCTGGCTGAAGGTTAGTGTTTGAGATACAAGCTTCTTGTTCATAAACATTTGTATTGCAGATAGGTTTTTCATTTATTAAAGAAAACAGCTTGTGCAACTAGGGACATCCAGCTGCATTTTCCACAGATTCAGAAAAATGACTTCAGAAATATCTATTCAGAAACAAGTGAATGGAAAAACAACATTCGCAGTAACATTACAGGGGCCGGCCTTTTAATTACCCTTTGCATTACAATGCATTTAAAACCTTAAAACACAGTTCTTGTTTTTCAGGTGGATGAGCAAAAGAATAAGACTGGATCTTCTCCAGGACACTTGGTTGGTTTGAATGTTTTCAGCAAGTTCTTTCTGGGTGGATACAATGAGTATACTCCAGAACTACTGCCCGTGGGTGCTCAGTTCCAGAATGGGTTTCAGGGTAAGAGCTTTTGTTTCTGCTTTGTTTAAAATAACAGACTATCTTAATTATTATTCTGTGCTTTTTTACTATAAAGTTTCTTTTTTTTCTGAATTAATTAAACTGCATATCAAATCAAAAATCAAATATGTATCTTGTATCAATTTTGCAGTGAGTCTGTTAGTTTTTGTTCTGGTTATAATTGATATCACGGTTTCTAAGGACACCGATTTTTTGGTTAGAGCATTGTATTAGAAAATTGCTCTGACATGGTATATTTCAGCATTTCAGCAGACATTAGTAATTATTAGATGGCACAGGTGAGCTTATTATCAAAATATTATTATTGTTTTTTTTTTTGCTTAGTAGATGCTCTTACCCAGAGTAGTATACTGTAACATTTTGTCTTGAAAGTTGTGTCTCATAAAACAGTTGTGTCATGCATAGTCCCAGCATTCTGTTATAGTGACCAGAAAAAAAGTTCTGAAGGCTGGCTGTTATCCTTTACATGAAGTTAAGTGACCTTTGTGTGACCCCTAAATGACCTCTTTTCTAGTCATCGCTGTTTTTTATTCTTTAGTTATTACTGTCAGGAAAAACAAAATGTCCCCCTGCTGCCTACAGTTCTGAGAAGGATTAGGCTAACAATTAGCCTTTAGAATTTTCCTCCTGAGGTTAGAATGTGCAAAATGCCACAAGCATGCAGCACACCATCCAAAGCACTCTAATCAGCATTAGGACTTATAAGGAAAATAATAAACCATCAAATTCAAAACACTCAAAATATGTGCCAGTGAGAGACAAATTACCCAGAGAAAGCTCACTGTGTTAGTCTAAAGTCCTATGAGAGATAAAGCACAATAGGATTTAACATACATTTTTGTTCACTGTTTAAAGAACTTGGTTTTTATTATTGAATTAAGCCTCTGTAGTTAGCACGTGTTTACAGATTTGTATTTTTCCTACATTGCTGTTTGCCATTCTAGACAAACAGGATTTGGATGACGTGACTGCTTGTACATAATATAATTCTGGCACTCAGCCTTGGAAATGAATTTAACAGATGAAGCTTTCCCTGTCTGAGACTTGCATTTAAATGTATTTTATGACCCTGTTATTGTTGTATCATAAGATCCATTAATTTCAAAAACATTTTAACTGCATGCCATATTTCTTTCCTGAAAGTCTTTTAAAAAGGCATTACATTTATGAGTTTAAATTCATTTATGACGCAATTTAAATACTTTCCTAAAAGACAGTTTACCTATACTTGTAAATGTTCTTGTTAAAAGAGCAGCACATTTTCCCCAGTTTCATTATTTCATGTTCTAACATGTTGTAAACCGTATTACAGTCATTGTAAATGTTCTGACAGGATTTCAGCTGCTGCCACTGGATGCTGGCTATGTGTATGTGCATGTAACAGTTCTAGGTCTTGGCCTGCTATGACAGCAGCTCACATGACTATCAACAACATTGCCCTGTGACAGTTTTGGCCATTTTAGTTGCCTGACAGCATGTTGTGACTACAGTCTGACTCTCTTGTGACACTCTCTGGGATGATATATCTTCTGTTTGTCCCCTTCTGGGGAATACTGAGCTGATCCTGAGATTCAGAAGCCTGATATTCCTTCTCCAGTCTCCTCCCTGTAATCTTCTCTCTCACTCTTACAATTCTTATCATTTTACTCTCTATCTGGCATACCCTCTCCTTCAGAGCCCACTCTCAGGTATAGAGTATTATCTGTGATTGATTCCATAGGTCCTAAGCTTATCTCTCTCACAACATTTTTACATAAGATCTTCTAAACTCTTTGTCTAATCTGTTTTATTCAAGGGCCAGAACCTCTCTCAGACTGTCCATCTGTATGCAGCTGTTATAACAATGTTCATTATCATTGACTCAATGATGTCTTTCTCATCTGTGGTGAGAAGATACGTATGTTGTTATCTTCCCAGGCAGTGCATCTCTCCTCAGTGCTGACAGCCGCAGTCAGCGCTGTTCCAGCAAGCTGCTCCTGTTTTTCAGAAGTTTCTCACTTTCATCTTCACTGTTGGGCCTGGCAAACTGGCTACCACACAACAGTGACACATTTCAATGCAGCACTCCTCAGTTTACCTTCTCCAGTTACCACACAACTCAAAAATACCCACCGAGCTGTTAGCCATCTTAATCTGTCACTAGGATGAATCTATCGCTGTCCCCATCAACCTGTTCTCTCTTCCTGTTAAACATTTTTGGTCAGGGGTGTCACTCAATTCCTTTACTTTGAAATTGAACTCACTGTTCTGAGTAACCCACACTCAAAGCCCTGGTTTGTCTTCCACGCTGGCTTCCAAGTACTGTACATTCAGTAGCCATCTTGTCTCAATGTCACACCATGACCGCAGTTCTGGAAAAATGAGAACATCATTGAACTGCTGAGCAGTTAGTAATTTGACACAAACATACAAAACGTCCCTTTTTTGAGGCAATGGTTATTAATAAATATGAACAATTCTGGAATTAGCACAAATAGGGTTCTATTTTTACACAGCACATTTCACATTTCCTGACATTTTTTCTTAACAACACTGAAAACTCTCTAAATACAAATACAACTGTCCAAAAGCCTGTCTTCTCTTGACGAGACAGCAGCAGGTCTCTCCCAGTTCATTTCCCATCACCCAGAAACCATTGCCAACTCATCTGCAGCTCACTGAATATTCTCTCTGGCTCTTGGCAGCCCTTCTACCGCACTCTTATCTGATTTTTATTGTCTCTGCTCACATGCAATTTAAGGTCCTCATTCCTAGATATCATTTCAGGATACCTATATATCTATCCTAACCGTCACCCTTTTCGCCTTCCTCTTCATTCCTAATCCCCTTGTCTCTCCTTAAAGGACATTGCACTGTACGATATAAGAGAAATAGATAGGAAATTGAAAAACAATTGTGTTCCTCTCAGCACTTTCAAATGAAATCATAATCATGTAATGGATACATTACATTCAGCATGAAACCATAAGCAGAACTCATTTCTCAAAGTAATTTTGCAGCAATTACTGAATATCAGCAATTGCAATAATATAGATTACATGCATTATTACTTTCTGGAATTTATTTTCTATAGAAGGTGTATTTAATGTAAACATTCACCCACTGTGTGTTGTTTTACTTTATATTTACAATTTTCAGTTGTGTTCTTTTACTTTATTTTCATTAACCTAAAAAATTGCAATGCTATCAACAATTACCATCTGCCCGGTTTATAAATTAAGCATATTTGTTTTTCTGCAGGAGTTGTCTAAGTATACCAGGTCCAGAGAATAAATAGCATCATGCTATAAATATTCATGAATGAACATGACATTTCTCTGCATTCTGTTTACTCAAGTGACTCACACAAAATGCAAGCACACTCCAGCACAGGGTGGCTAGCTGGTGTGTTTATTTTGGTGATAGGATGAAACAGGTGCAAATAGATTAGGCTCATCTTTTGGTGTTGTTTACCAAATAAATATAAAGATTTTATAATGAGCAAAATGTTTGTGTATGTTATACTAAAATACTCAGAGAACTGTTCATTGGATTTGATAAGACTTTTTGCTCCATTTCTTCCCAAATCTGAGCTTGAGGCCATCTGTCTTGTGTGCTTTTGTAAAGGCTGCATCTTTGATCTGCAAGTTCGGACTAAGAGGACGGCCCAGTTCCGAGCTCCAGGAGAGCCAGAGGTCCATGCTGATGCTGGCCGCAGCGTGGGTCAGTGTGAAAGCACAGCGTGCACAATGATCACCTGCGGGAATGGAGGATCATGTGTGGATTCGGGCTCCACTGTGTAGTAAGTATGACAACAACATCTTCACATTGAAAACAACACTTCAAAACACACTTTTCCACTAAAAAGTGTGGGCAAATTGTCAATGCAGTGTCTTGTATTCAGCATGTAAAAATGCAGGAGGAAACAAATGAAACCAGTTTGATCCGTGTAGTGATAAATTATAATTTCTAATAGAGATAAAAATGACAAAGAAGGGAGTAAATTAACATTTGTTGAAACATTTTAAAATGTTGCATTTCAAATTCATGGTTTACTCTTAATGCTTCATTTAAGAAATGCAATTTTAAGGATTAGTTTTGTACCTCTTTCTCACTCTGTTGATCTCTACTGAAACTCTAGACTGCTCCTCTGGTTGGACATTTAGCTGAGTAGCTGTGTTTTCCACTCTAAACAGTGGAAATAGTGGTAAACAGTGGTAACAGTTCTTATAGGGAGAACAGAGAAAAACCTATATTAAGGGAAATAATAGTTTTTCATTACAGTCTGAATATTTTTCTTACCAAAGTAGAATTTTAAATTCCACAAATGAAATGCGGTATTTATCTGCTTTTTCATTAGAAGGAATAATGGAACTTTCTCAATCCTGCATACTGATATTAGTTTTCAAAAATATTTATCTTTTAAATACTCACAACATTCAACACTGTTTTGATACAGTGCATCTCCGTGTAAAATAATCTTGCATTTATTTGTTTTTTTCTCTTTTTACTACTAAGATAAGATTAAATAGACTGAAACAATGTGGAGTGTGGTCTTATAAGAGTAAGCACATTTTTAGTGTACTAATTTATTTCAGTTTGTGTAAACTAGAAAACTAAGCAGAAACATTTTATTTATAGAGAGACATTAGTTCATGTGGACAAATGCACTCACATAGACTGTATAGAAGTACAGTAATAGAATTATTCTGTCCTCCACTAAAATTCTGACTGGCTTTTGACTGTCCTGAAAGATAGGTACATTCCTTCATAGAAAAATTATTCCACAGTGTCACATGCTGGAGGTAATACATTTCTGAAGTCTGTTTGCCAACAAAGTTATTAAAATGGAAAACAGGTCATGTGTCAATGTTTCAGATTTGACAGTGCCTGAGTGAGTCTGTGCTTTCTGTGGCTGAGGTAATCAATGTGATTATCCCTTTAGCTGCTCCAGAGAGAGGAAGGTGTGAAAGGGACCAACATTTTTCAAGCAGGCAGAAAATTGAATGGTGTGGTTGTTAAACACATTAAGTGTGAATGACAGGGGACAAAAAGCAAAAAAAAAAAAGAGGGGGGATACATTTGCCTGCTCTTTTCCTTTTTAATTTAAATAATATTTTTATCCTGGTAGGAGTTAGGGGAACCCATCATTCTAATCATGTGCTGCATGACAGAATTGTGAGGAAATTATACAGCAGTTCAATTTTTTTTTATTTAATGTCCTAAACATTTTTTTTCTGAGAAATACGATTTATACATATGTCAGTATGTATTGTATTGGGGAAAGTACTTTTAAAAGGTAACCAGTGACAAGTTACTCGAATGAAAATGTAGCTACAGTTCTGTCACTTCCTAGCAGTTCTATCACTTACTGATAGATCTGAAAGAGTGAGCAGTTCTTACTCTTTGACATGAGGTTAAGGGGTTTGAGGTGTATTTATATACAGTTGCAAGAAAAAGTTTGTGAACCCTTGGAATTACCTGGACTTCTGCATTAATTACTCATAAAAATGTGGTCTGATCTTCAACTAAGTCACAATAATACACAAACACAACCTGCTTAAACTAATAACACACAAACAATTGTACTTCTTCTTGTCAGTACTGAACACATTGTTTAAACATTCACAGTCCAGGTTGGAAAAAGTATGTGAACCTCTAGGCTAATGACTTCTCCATAAGCTAATTGGAGTCAGGTGTTGCAATCAATGAGATGAGATTGGAGGTGTGGGTTGGAGGTGCCCTGCCCTATAACAAAGGCTCTTCTCAAGAAAGAGCTGTTCATGTGAACCATGACCTGATCAAAAGAAATAGCAGAGGACCTTAGAAACATTGTAGAGATGCATTTGCTTTGTAGCAAAGTGGGTCTCCTGACTATATAGTAAGCACTTTGAGATTCTCTGGAGTTAAATGCACTATATAAATGTAATGAATTGTTAATATAATTATAATTAAGTGAATTAATTTTAATAAAGTAGCATTAATAGTGGTTTTCTATAAAGAAAATGTGAAAGCACACATATTGTTATTGTGTCCCGTAAATACCAGTGGTTTGAAATAAGTGTAAAGTGTCCACTGAAACCAAATAAAAAATAAAAGATAATGTATCACAATAAAAATATACGTAATATGCAACTTGGACTAAGGGAGATCAATTTATGTTTCTGTCCTTTAGCCCATATTAAACATTATTTAAAAAGTATCACTGTGACTACTTACCTGTACATTCTTTTATTTCAGATTTAACTTGAACTGTCGAAGATCTTACTGATATTCTATGTAGTAACTTCAATCCTTCATAAAAAAAAATAAAAAGTTACTTTTTTCGGAAAAAGAACATATTGTACTACTGTCTTTAATTTTATCTCAGTACAGTCTTAGTTATTCATCTACTAATATACATGATTCTATATATTATGTTAATAGACACAGGCAAACACACATTAACAGATACAAAGACAGGCTGAGTGCTAGACGTGTTACTGTTCTGTTCCCCTCAGAGTTCACAAGGAGTTTCTGTAGCTCCTTTCGTTCTTCCTTCTCTGTGGCTCCATTTCTTAGCAGCCTGGTGTGCTTTATTAATGGGGTCGATTGAGTTACAAGGTCACGCAAAGTAAATTGAGTGTGATTGTACCAAGGAGAAGCACAAGGCCTGCAGATACCCATGAATAATATTTTTTATGGATGAGCTCAGAATGTGC